TGGTTTGAATACAGATACATTTTATATTTCTAATTCTATGGTCGTATTTCAATGCATCTAATGTTTACTCTTACGATATTTGCGTACAATGTACGATTTTGAAGTGTATGCATTATATATACTTTATGTTTACTTTTTCACTATTAAGATAATGTATTGAACGATTTAGTGATGATTATTGTATGATTTTAAGAGCTTGAGGGTAAACAGGTCTGTTTAACTAATCCTCTGTTTAAGAAAAAATGTATTCGTCTTTCCTCTCTCAGCTGTTTTTCAAAACCCGAATCCAAGACGAGGAGGGCCATGTGTTGTTTGTTCGTAAGAACGCCTTACAGGTTCTCATCTCCAAGTACGGCTTGGAGGGCACTGTGTTCCTCAACGACGACAATCAGAAGTCGTCAAGTTTGTTTGTCTATGATGAGGAGGTAAGACTGTCTTTAATGAAAATCAAAAACTGCAGTTTCTATGTTTGGAAATAAGACAAGTAGGCTGGTTAGATGATCGACTTTATATTAAGGCTGATTAGATCATCAACTTCATATTCATCTTGTATAGGCTAATTACTGTTCAGTATTTACAATGGGAGTACCATTAGAAAGTCACCATCTTGTCACTGGCAATAACCCCATACATTATATTTTATGTAAACAAGATGGCTGTGCTACTTTACTTGGGTCTTTTTATTTATTTTTTAATTAATTAATTAAAAAAATCAAAATCCCCAAGAAAAGTAACACAGCCATCTTATTTTTATGTCAACAAGAAGGTTGTGTTACTTTTCTTGGGTCTTTTGACTTTTTTAATAATTAATACAAATAGATTAACAAAATGTTCACAAGTGTTATTCCCCTGTTTGTTAGATGAACACACAGTCAGCCGGAGATGTGACCATCCATGTATTTGATCCAGTTATTGTCCAGCTCAGCATCGACAGGTCTAATGTTCAACATATGAAGCTGTCATTGAAACTGGTTCGACCAGTGGTGAGTTATCACTGAGTAAACTTATATTTATATGATTGTAAATAATCTGTTTCATTTGACAGATTATTTTTTTGCAGTTTTTTTTTTTTTTACCTATTGACATTTTTGTGTCAGTGCCACGATCTTGCCCTCAGCTGACCTTTCCCAATAAATTACAGCACATTAACTAATCTAGATAACTAAACCAAACATGCCGATAGAGTGGGTACATACACTTTGCTTTGACATTTAACTTAAATTATTGTCAGATGTCCTCCAGGAATGATTAATAAGTTGTTTTTTTTTAAATTTCAGTCTGAGACTGGAGAGAAAAGAGAAAAAAATACATTTAAAATGTTAAAATTCAAACAATTGAATAATAAATTGATTTGAACAATTGAGACAGCCAACTAGACAATAATATGCCCTCTTTTTAAACAGAGCTGTGGTCTAATCATTTAAGCTACAGTTGCCGGAATATATGTCGTGTATAGGGTCGAACTTGGTACAATGAATGTAGAGTCACACCATTTTGGAAACTACTCTTAGACTGTCCTAAATAAAGTATCTTCAGATGACCAGCAAAAAAGATGACAAGTTTACAAGTTTAATTTTTAATGGCATCTACATGTCATAATGTCATGGGGTTTTGCTTCAGGACTATAAGCTGGGCTCCCTCTCCATGTTTTGATTAGTTCTCTTAGCTGAGTAAACATCATGGTTGACCGTTCCCATAACATCATGGTTGACCGTTCCCATCCACCCGAGGTGCTGATATTGTTTTTGCTTGACTTGGTCTTTGGTGGGGATTGAACCCTAAACCACAAGCTTGGGATTGACTCGACCACCCAGCATGTTTACCAGGTTCAATACTATTTATTCTTAATTCTCCATATTAACAGCCTCAATACTATTGTTAATGATTATTTCTTTTCCCTTGTCTTTCCTCAGATACCAGGGTTCAGTGTGCCATCTGTTAATGAGCTATCGACAAAAGGAACAACACCAGCCCCAGCGAGCGGGCCAGTCAAAAAGAAAAGAAAAGTGTAAAAGTAGTTTAATAGTTCATCTTTTCATTCAGAGCTGTTTGCAGGTTGAAATATTTGTTGTAACACTTGACATGTCATTGCCTTGTAGCTACTGAAGTTATGTGCTCTCAGTTTGGCTTTGGAACATTATGTGTCGAAATATTTGAAGAATTTTCAAAGAATGATCTCGTAACTTCTCATTCCTATGTAATATGAAAATTTGTCTTTTGTGAGTCTCCACCAAATGAAATAAATCCAAGCTCTACAACATGATAAAAATTGGAACATTATGGTCCTCCAATCATCCAGCATGTTGTAGTTGTATTAAATAGTCCAATCATCCAACATGTTAGAGTTGTATTAAATAGTTTTGTATTCCCTGGTTTGGCAGAGCTAAGTGACATAATAAAATGTATAGATGACAGGGAACACGTTTCAGTGTTTCCTTAATCCTGGGGTTCTTATTCAGAGATAGCTGAATCCTCAGAGGTTGCAAGAAGACCCTGAAAATCAGGTTATCATTTTTAATCAGGGTAGTGCATGGAATATTTTTTGAAATCAAAATAAGGTGTGTGGGAAATATTTTGAAATCAATAGGGGGTGAGGTGCTGCAAAAAGGTTGAGAACCCCTGCCTTGATTCATTCTTGTATCTGAATTACTGTTATTTTAAATAACATAATTAAATGAACTTTAAAATTGTTGACTATAATTTTGTCTGTATTTTTCTTGTTTTTTTTTCATTTTAAATATTATATATAAGACAGTGATTTATATTGTTAAATTTTTTATTTATTAATGAATTATCAAAATTTAGTTTTCAAATCATTTAACTAATGGACAAAGCACATAATGGTTTAAGTTTATGAAGGTAATAATATAATATTAGAGCAGGCATATCTTAAAGCACATATTATATTTATTATAATAATGGAAGAAAAAATTATATTTCTCTAATCAAATACTTTTTTCTGTTGTGAAATATTCTTCAAAGGTGACTCAAGAAATAGTTTATTTTTGCCATTTCAGCACCTTCATCGACTATTTTTTTTGCTTTGAACCTTAGATTTAAAAAGAACTTAACTCATCCTGATTAGTATTCTTTACAGTAATTTAGTGAAGTCATTTGGACCAAACAATTTGTTTAAAATAAAATTTGTTAACTAAAGGCATGAAAGAAATTAAAGTAATTTCCAGTTAAAAGTTCTCATTGGTTTGGACATCATAGATGGATAATTATGGGGAAAATCCCATGGAATAAATTACAACACACTCAAATTGTTGACATGACACAAATAGTTTCTTGCTTCAGTACCAGTTGCATACAAAAAGTGAGAGAGAAGTCTGAATTATTTGCATGACACTATGAGTAGTTTATCACATTACACATTCTCAATAACTCCCATAGATATTTGAAGGTTGCATTGGAGGAGGACAGATGCTTTCGAATTCAAACAAAACATTTGATAAAGATCAATAGTGGAACATATTGGGTGCAACTAATTCAGAACACAACTACTAGGTGTGATTCACACAAAAATTTAACTTATTCTCCACACATGGATTGACAGCGTCATCCAAACACTTACTTGATCCCTTTGATGAAGTGGCTCTAATGTCTTTAAATAACAATTAATATATGATTTTCATTTAAACAACAGCAATTGTGGGGAGATAATGTATTATAATTAAAAGCAAGAGACAATATTTCTATGATCAACTAAACGTATGATGTTATGAAACTGGTTATGGTCAGATTAGTAAAAAAATGCTAATGTGGTGTCACAATGATAATAAAGAAATAGTCTCATCACATGCTCACAATGATCTGAAATTAATGGGAGAAATTTTTCATCCAGCACTTTGCATACTATAAATATCATTATAAAGTGTATGCACAATAAAACAAATCTAAAAATCATTTTCAATTATGCATTGGTAATACCTATAACAAGTAATGGTGAGCAGTAAAAGAGACAAGTGGACAGTTTATCAAATGAATTCCGGTAATACTGAGAATAAATGTGTTAATCTTTAAATACAGGATAACTGCAACAATGGTATGTTATGATGAAAAAATCATTGTCATTCTAATTGAAACTTGATGCTAATACAACTTTTTATAACATATTATAAAATGTTGATTGTTAAACTGACTGGATGGACTTGAAGTTAGCCACCAGGCTCAACAGGGAGTACGAAGTATGATAGATTAAAAACTAATATTCAAAATAGTTCACTGTGCTACAAGTTATGTTGTCCTGGTGATTTCATTTGTTTTTTTTGGTTAAGGGAAAGAAAAGCTTTCTTTGGTTTAAAAAAACAAACAAATAATGTTTAGTTGTGTGTGTGACGTTATGATTTTTAGCATTGTCCATGAGACAGGGCCAAGTCCCCTTTGGAAGTGAAGTGTCCAACAATCCTTTTCAGACATTTAAATAAACTCTGCACACAAATACAAATCTGTTTTCAAAGCAGTAAAAAAAAAAGTTGTAAAATGTTATAAAATATAGCTTTGCAAATAAATACAGCATTGTATAAAAAATATGGATAGAAAACTTTGACAGGTAATGTATGGACGGCAGAAATTGAAAAAAAGATCACTATCATAGAAGGTATATACTGTAAAATATTTAACACAAAAAAGCATAAAAAATCAAATCGCTACTAAAACAATAAAGGGCATAGAAGATGGAATGTTAGTTTAAATGATATTAATGTACAGCCAAAATTACAATTTCTGTTTAGACCAGTGGTTCTTAACCTGGGTTCAGTGAGCCAGTCTCAGGGGTTCGGCGGAAGTCCAAAAAAATCAGAAAAAAAAACATATTTTATTTTTCCTATTAAGAAGGGTTCGGTACCTCCAAAAAGGTTAAGAACCACTGGTTTAGAGTCTACACTTTCAGGTCTCAAAAGTTTGCAATAGGATCATTTAAGTTGTTTATAAATTTTGTCAAAATGTTAACACTTTTCCTTGCATTAAAATTCTTTTAAAAGTTTATAATAAAGTATGTCCTCAACTTCTTTAGAAAATAGTATCACATTAAAATAATAACTAAAAATATGTCATTAAAAAATAAATAAGAAAGTTGTTTTTTTTTTTAAAATTACAAATACATTCTTGTTACAAATATTTAACAGTTTACTTTATCAATATTTAAAAATAATTTAAGTCAAATTGTTGACATAAATGTAAGGCTGCTTGTATAGTGAATGATGAGTCTCTCCTGATTATAAAATTAGTTTTCAACAGAGATCTTTGATTAGAAAACAAATCAGATTACTTAGATCAGTGCTCCTCAAACATTACTATGTGACTGACCCAGCAGCAATCATCCACACTGCAATGGGGGCCTGTGACTAATTTCTTGACTATAAATGCAGTTAGCTTTCAAATATTTCTTTTTTTTTTTTCATTTTTGCCTTCTAGTGTTAGGGCTTGATAAGTGGCTCCAGTCTGTGGGGACCAATACTTTGAGTGGTACTGACCTAGATAACTGAAAGAACTGTCAATAGGTGACAAAGAACTGGATCATCAGTGTCATTGACTTTTCATTGGCAGTCTTATCATTAATTAACAATAAAATTTTACATATGAAAAATTTTCATTCCAAATTGCAGCGAATCCTTGTGAGGATTTGCTGGACACCATTAGATCAAGGGCTGACACCACTAGATAAATTCTTGACACCACAAGATTAATTCTTGACACCACTAGATTTATGCTTGTCTGACTCCCATAGGTTCCTCACTGGAAACCTAAGACAGATCTCGTCAAGACTTTTCATTTTATTTTGCATTCCATCGAATGAAAATATTCATAAGACTTGCATAATAAGTAGACACTTACAACCCATATGACCACACACAACCCATATGGCCACACACAACACAAATGGCCACACAACCCATATGGCCACATGCAACCAACGCACACTTTCATAATTTGTCCTGCCATTTCATCATTACCCTTTTTTTAAGGGAAAATTCCAAAAACCAAACAGTCCGAAACATGAACAGAAATCATTGCTGCTCTCATCACAGTGAACACAGTTTGTCTGCCACTGACCTAGACATCTGAAAGGACAGAACAATTTATACACTTCAGCCACACAAAAAACACAAGACAGATCACCACAAACTGTACAGGGTGTTAACACTAGCTAAGCTTAGCTTGCTCTTCTAGAAACAGAAGTTGGTCCACCAAGAAGCAGTCTGCGGGATTCTTGACGAATTTCTTCAAACCTTCCATGATCTCCTTCTCCGATTTCTCCTTTCCTTTCTTTGAATTGCGTGCAGTCTTCAGGTAGTTGTAGGCTTTGGTAAACTCTTCTTCTCCAAGGGCTTTGACACACATGCTGTGGGGAAAACATTTATACATATAAAAAGTGGCCTTAAGTAAATTCTCTACACTTAAATAAACACAAGTCTTCATTTGAATTCAAATTTTTTTTTTTTTTAATGAGTTAATTTAATTCAATGTTTTTGGTTTTGGTTTGGTAGTGTTTTTTCTTCAAGTTCAAGTTTATAGGTTAAGAGTATACTTCCAACACAAATGGAAAGTTATTGGGGCAAACCTGGGTGCTGTAAAAACCTCATTTATGTAACCCCTATCACACAGGCGTGCAGTGATCTTTTTTTTTTAGCTATGTTAAAAAAATTTTTTTTTGAGCCGCCAAGGGCATGTTGATGAACACTCACCCTCTCATGTTTTTTATTTTGGTCTCTCTTGCGTGAGGTCCGAATGCACCAGAAACTGTGTCATCACTGACCAAGGTTGATTCTGTTTAGTGGAAGCAAGAATCATTTGTTAACTACTAATAGCATGCAGAGGTGGCAACAGGGAAGCAGTCATTGGATCATAGGTGTGTTTATAGGTGGATAGTCATATATTAAACATTCTTTATTGATTCCCAACAATTGGGTTACCTAAGCTTGACTGGGAATAATTTACACAATGATATCAACTATCATTGTCTCAAACCAGGTATCTACAGTTAAGGAATCACTATTATCCCCAACTAAGATTTGTTAGAAACATATTCTAAATAAAATGTCCCATGAATCAAGTACAGGATGCTGCCTTTCAAATATGCTTTAAGTTGCATGTACTTTCAACATATTTAATCTTAGGTCTTAAATATTGATGTTTAATGAACAATAATTTTAACATTCCTTTTATGAAAAGCAAGTAATTTTTCAAATGAAATGATTAGTCTTATTTTGTTACCACTTTCAGTTCTTAATGCTCAATTTGTGTTAAAAAAAAAAATGTTAAATTTTCTGACCTGCACTTCTCTTATCCAGAGCTCTCTCCAAACAGTTAATGAAGTCCTCCTCATCATCCTTGGGCGCCCCAATGGTGTCATCGTTGTCTCCATCATCATCACAGGAACTGGCCTTCTTTCCCCCCGCGACGACATCGTCATCATCATCAACAAAATCATCAAACTGTTCATAATATGTTTCAGCCAGGTCTGGAGTATCAGGTATTCCTAAAGATTTTAGAGATATTTGAAACTGATAAATATCTAAGAGATATTAGAGGTATGTTTGTATCTGACAAATATCTAAGAGATATTAGAGGTATGTTTGTATCTGACAAATATCTAAGAGATATTAGAGGTAAAGGTATATTTTAAAGTTCAAATTTTAAATCATTTAATTATTTCAACATATGGAAGCCTAAATAAACTAAAGTTGAATATTTAAATCAGATTTCTTAACTATTTTATATGTGTTTGGCAGCTGATAAACATCTTTTCAGAATAATAATTATAATTGTATAAATAAGTTACATCACTTTCCCAATGAATTTCAGTGATAACTAGACAAAAATGTACAGGAATTTCTCCTTAATGTCACATTCAGACAATATCAAAGAATGCATAAAAATATGTTTATCTATAAATATGTTTACAGGTAACTGTTCTTAATCCTTCAACTCTAAAGTCCCCTTATTGGTATATGGAGAAAGAACACAAGAGTTGGCTCAAATAAGCTTAAAATTGTTATTAGTTCAATTTGTTATTATTGTGAGGCGATTCAATTTATTTAACAACAGCTGCACAACTGACCATCTTTGAAATCAAGAGACGAAAGTTCTCTGCCGTACACCATTAAATCTTTCATTGGTGTAATGGCCCGATCCTCCGATCCCTTGGCTCCTAAGGTCATGCTGAGTGCATTGGGGCTGCGGTCGGTCGGGGTGCGGGGCGTTTTGTGGGACAATGACCGCACTAAACGATCACTGGCTCCTGTTTGGCTTTTGGTGGAACCGGCGGCACCCTTCTCAGAGTAACGTCGCACAATGGTTTGTTGTGCTACTGTATAGCTATCTTCATCTGAGCTTTCATAACCATGGTAATGTTCACCTGGTAGAAACAGTATCAATGGTGAAATGTTGTCATTAGTGAAATGGTTTTTAACATTTGCTATGCATATTTTATGAACAGTTTACTGAGGTAAACTCACTTTCTAGTTCCATTCTAAAAAATATTTTCTAAAAATAAATTACATCCTTAGATTAATATTATATGCTCCTTTGTTTGTTACAAAATGTTTGGATAATTTTAGCAATAAAAAAAAAAGATATTTCAATTTTTTTAAATTGAAATTATAAAACTTTGCAGAATTCTGGATTAAATATAATTTGTTTCTACAATTTTTTTTTTTTTTTTAAAGTCGCTTTTTAAAAAAAAATTTAATTAAGTAATCTGTGAGAAGTTGGCACAGCAGATAATTCAAGTTAAGATAATTGAATGTCTTATTTGCAATGAATGGTTTACTTATAGTATCTTTAGGGGAGTAAGGCTGCTCTAACCGTGGATATTCTGGATTAAATATAATTTGTTTCTACAATTTTTTTTTTTTTTTAAAGTCGCTTTTTAAAAAAAAATTTAATTAAGTAATCTTTGAGAAGTTGGCACAGCAGATAATTCAAGTTAAGATAATTGAATGTCTTATTTGCAATGAATGGTTTACCTATAGTATCTTTAGGGGAGTAAGGCTGCTCTAACCGTGGATCTTTGACTGTCAGTGCCTCCTTAAGAACCTGGCCTTCTCCATAGCCAGCTTTCCATGCAGGTAACTGTCTCGTACAGAGGAAGAGTACAAAGTTCAGACATTAAAGAGTGATGAGATTCTGTCGCCGCAGTTAAAAATGTGTGGTCATTTCGTTTTCAGAAATGTTATACAATTTGTTTTTTTAGTTTTTTTGTTTTTGTTTTGTTGGTTATTTTTTATTTATTTTTTGGAAAGAGAACATAAATATGCTACGGCAAACTATTGCTTAAATATAATAATAAGAAGGGGGGAAAAAGAAGAATAAATATGTCACTTTTTTATTAGAATGACCCAAGGATCACCCAGATGTGATACTTAGCGCTGGTGATTCTTTCATGTGGCTAGATTTACACCTATCGTACAAATGTACTTACTTTGACCCAACTCTGCATTAACCAAATAAAAACACATAAACAATATTTTAAAATTATTTTAATAAGAATGTTAATCAAAGTTACAAAATGTATGATAATTTTTGACTCACAGTTGACTGCTCCAGATTTTTTTTTATTTTCTCTCTCCTCATTGTGTTTTCAACCAGCTGAATTTGTGTGGCTTTCCTGGAAAAAAATAATAATACTTGACACGTGCATAATGAAGAAAATTAGACAACGGGACCTTTCTGAAAATGTATTTCTGTTGTGTAGATTCTATTTTAGCTTAAAGAGAGATAACTAGTCCACAAATATTTCAACACAGAATCTGATTAACTTCCTATTAAGTGAAAAATTTCATGTCCATATTTTCCAGCTCATGAGACTTGTTAGTGTTAGCAAATGATCATAAACTTTGAAATATTTAAATGACCATATTAAAAAAAATCTTCTTACTTGATATCTTGACCTCGTTTGTCAGCTTCTTCTCTTTTCTTCACCAGGAGTCTCTCTCTCGCTGTAAGTTTTCTACCTTCTGGTTTCTCTACCTGGTCGCCTGCTGGCTTTTTGTCTGTTGACCTGTCCAGAGTTGATCTCACGTCATCAAGGTGGGACTTCTCTCGTCTGAGGTTGATGAAATCGAGTTTGTTATTAAGATAGCTATTAATACTGTCTATAACTTTTTTTAAAAAACACCCACAAACATTTAATTGCTACTCAGCTGAAATGGATTCATTTTATGTTAAGAAAAATATTATTTCAAGGTTAAATAAATTTTACTTAAATTTCCTTTGTTTCAAAATTTTCAATGGTGAAAAAAATTATTCTTATCTTTATTCGTTGAAGCAAGAACTCAATATATGTAATGAGTTGCCAGAAAAGCATTTTTTTTAACAATTATGTTCAGTGAATTCAAATTAAGTGTGTGTAAATAATGAAGTATTACGTCACCCAAAAAAATCACAAAGCCACTACTTTTATTTGATGCAAAGCTTAAGTAATATTTGTACACAACAACTCACAATAACACAGCCAGCTCTGAAGCCTCTCTCTCAGCAGTCTCAGGATTCATGTTGTGCTTTGCCCTGTACTCCTCTGTCAGTGTCTCTTTCATTTTCTATGAGGCGAGTAAGAAAATTATAAGTCATGATCATCCTTTTGTCAAAATTGATTTGTTTTAACTCACCAAAATTTTCTTGTCCAAACCAAGTCATACACTTTAAATTTTATTTTTCAAAATGTTTAAAGATGTTACACTCAGATTTACATAGCAATTTTTTTTTTAAACTGAGGATCAACAAGGTTTAAGGAAAAAGTTTAAGGTGAAAATAATTTTCAAAAGCCTTGCTGAGAAAATGAATTACTTACAGTCATATTTCTTGCTATAAAAGGGAATTTTGTGACATCAGTGGCTGAAGGTCTTTTTTCAGGATCTTTAATTAACATTCTGTACAATTGTGAAATTTAAAACAAAATAAAAATAAAAAGCATGTTGACCAACTGATGTAAAGAAGAAACTATGACCCTGGACAAGCACATCAACACACAGAATGCCAGGCTCATTCTTTTGTAATGTGTGCACTAGTGTTTGGACTAGTTATTTAATACTCTCTGAATGACTCTTAGAAACATTGGCAACAGTAGTACAGAATTCCTAACCTAACTAGAAGAAGCTCATTGTTATGTAGTACACTTTTTTCCCCGTGCGTGAACTTTCTTTGACCCCCGCATTAGACACCTAGCAGACAGTAACGTTTGTTGTGGGCGTGGTTAAATATTTTGAAGTATCTTGTTTACTACCGACCTCCAATTAAACATGGTTAGTATGTCTACTGGTATCTTGTCGAAGGCTCTCGATTGTATTAGAAAAGTAAGGGCGTTTCTAGACGCCTCGGTAGACCCACGCCACATATATAAGGGATTGACAGGCACAGAGGGAGACAGAGATTAATAGATATTTTTAACTTCACGAGACGTGTATTATTCTTTGTGTACTTGTATGTGTTTATTCGCATTGATCATTCATCATTATTCATTGGCACATTGTACTAACTGTGTTAACTGGGTACCGGTACAAGATCTACCATACTGTAAGTTGTTGATTTGTAATGATATTTCTTTTGTTTTGTAATTGTATTATTAATAAATTAAATCTTTTTAATTGTAATTGGTACTTTTTGGGCGTCTTACTTTTGTTATTTTATTTTTCTATGGTATCGTCCATTGTTAGGCACTGTTTGAACAAGCCATAAATTTAAAATAGGAGATTAATTTCTCACAATAGAAGCCAGTGCGTAACACTCATAAACTTGTGCTATAAAGAAAATAAAAAGAAAAAAGAAACAGTCACTCACTTCTGGAAAACTTCATTTAGCTCTTTGGAATATTTGTCTGGCAGATCAGGAGCTTCCTTCTCTACAATCTTATACATGACAGCCATTAGTCCCTGACCCATGAAGGCATGCTCCAGGGTACACATCTCATACAGTATACAACCTATTGACCTGGTTTAGGCATGAGGAAATAATTCCATATTTTCATTGGCTTACTTCGTAAGTATCAACTTTAATGCTGAGAAAGCACCAGATATGTAGGGAATATGGAAAAATCATTGACCAAATCTAATTTACTGTAGGAAATAAAGACTGGGGGGGAGGGGGGAGGGGGGGTGGTTTAAAGGCAAAAACAATGGTTTTGGAAAATCTAATCCTGCTCTTTTATGCATTCCATATACACCCAACAACTGAACATTAACAAAACAACCATTCAAAGGATTTTATCATCAACATAGGATTTCTTTCTTTCAGGAGTTTATTTTTAACTGAAGCTAGATTTGAATTTAGCTAAATTTCAAGCACAGGTAACTATTTTTAGATGTCTTAGGCCGAAAAAAACCAAAAAAACATAAAATTTGATTTCAAGATAAAACCCAACAGCTAGTGAGATTATTTATTCTCAGAATACAATGAAAATTTTGAACAAGGTTTAATAACTGAATACGAACCATACATCCGATTTTGAGTTGTATCCCTCATGTTTTAGGACCTCAGGACTCATATAGTATGGTGTTCCAGTGAATGTTGAGGCCATATCAGTTGTGCCCATAAGAATACGTGATATTCCAAAATCTCCAATTTTCATTAGGTTATTACGAATAAATATATTTCTGAGAAAGGTGTGTAAAAAAAAAATAATAATTACGATGCTTTTCAACAATATTTTCTAATTAATTTTTAATCACAGTGTTAATATGTGGACTAATTTCAGCTTATATAGTTTTAAATTATGTATGGGTTGGGCATATCTCTGGTTGCATTTGGGCATGACCCACCTGGTTTTGAGGTCCCGGTGAAGCACTCTTCTGCTGTGCATGTACTGAACAGCCAAGACAAGTTGTATTGTCCAATGTAAGATAGTCTTCTCCTCAAAGGATTTTCCTGATTTCTTGTACTCTGTGATTCTGTGGTCCAAATCTCCCCCCTAAATGATTTGAATTATATGAAAAGTCTAAGTTTTATAATTATTTCTAACATTCATTTCAAACTAGTGGCATCAGTAATTAAAATAACAAATAAATTTGCATTTAAAATATAATCTTCTATGTGAAATAGTATAATATTTGCTCAATAAAATTTGAATGCAATATAAAATTATGGTTATTGCTAATGACAAGGAGTTTGTCATTATGTTTTCTTATGAAGGCCTAAACAATTAATTTAACTATTTTGAAAATTTAAAAAGAAAACGTCAAAGATTATCACCAAGAAATTTATATTCCCTAGTGACTGAAACCTATATCTCTCTCTTAAATTTTTTAAAATTTTCAGATCCTTCTAAAACTCATTCTTTCAACTTACCTCACAATATTCTGTTATAATACAGAAGTACTCCCCATCAATAAAGCTGTCATGGAACTTGACAATGCCAGGATGATCCAACTTGGACAGTAGTCTTGCCTCATGCATGGCATCCACAGTTTCATCAGGCTGGAGGTCCCCTACGGAGATCTCCTTGAGCACTTTCCTTTATGTTTAAGGATTGAAAACACTCCAAACAATTATAATTGCATAGTAAAGAAATGTCTTTATAAATATTCTGCTTATTATTTGCAAGTGTATACATTTGAAAAGCCTTGTTTTAGGAGAGGTTATATTCATTTTAAGGTCAATTAATACTGATAATGTCAAAAGAATAAAAATTTTTCAAGATAATGGAATGTGCTAATTTCAAAATGTTTCAAATAGTGCACATGGTTTCTATTAAAAATTTTGTGTAAAGGGTGCTTTATATTTCTTATAGTGGCAAAAATATATAAGAATAGTTCTGCAAAACGCATCAATATATGGAAACCAACTGTTTATAGCAAAGTAGCTACATGAGCAGGTGCAAATGAGATATAAAGCTAGCCATTTTCAACACATGTCAATGAGAAGGCTGCACAGAACACCATCCCAGCTGGGTATAATAGACCACAGCCTTCTAGGTTAACCTGAAAAAAAGTTCAGCAGAGATGACTTCCCTTCTAGAATCAAACTCATAAGCCACACGTGGGCATAAAGATAAACCGACCACTGTTGATCATAGAAGGATGCCAATGCATAGCCTATATATATAAAGTATATATTTTTAAATGAATATGTATACAATAAACAGTATCTCTTAAGATTGCTTACATTTCATTATTGCACTTTTTATCCTTGCATAAAAATGCTGTTCCAAAGTTTCCACTGCCCAATTTTTTAACAATCTCATATCTATTGGCAAGCACTCTAGCATCCTTGGTCTCTCTGTCCTTTGTTGCTCTGCTTGGAGGCATTTTTGGGCTCCAGATATATTTGTTGATTATATATATGCTCCCATTTGAATATCTGGTAAATGATTTAAAATTGATATGCCTGTTTAGACTGTGATGTGTGTATTGAACTATATTTTTTCAGTCTTCTTTTTTTTAAGTTTCAAAAAAGGGCTTTCTCAGACATGACACATTTTAATATTAAGTGTTTCATTTTCAGACTTCACTTATTTTGAGTTCAATTTTTATAAACACTATACAGACAGGCCAAATGAACACTACACAGGCCTAAAAATTGAGTTAAATTAAAGTCTAGGTCTACAAGTAAAACTTGTGCTCGTTTTTTTTTAAATTTAATCATACCCATTGTCATTAGTATTAGTCTCCAGTGTGTGTAACTAAGAAGAAAAAACAATTTAAATAAAGCATTGGTTTAACTGAAACAAATAGAGTGACAGTCACACAGTACCTACATTTACACGGATAGCATTAATAATCAGAATCTTGCGACACTGACGACAGCCCAGGGTACAATAATTTTTTGACAATCACTATCAGATCATCACTGACTTAATCTAGGCACTTTGGTAAGTCAAGGGAGACTACTTCAAAATTTATATGGGAAATGGGTGCTGGCGCAGACAAATCAGAGTTTTTAAGTTTTGGACGTTGGGTCTTTTCCAATAACTAAAAGGACTGTTTTGTCATAACATTGTGGTATCCTTCCACATGGTCAAAATAGGGACATCATGACATACATCCCCACTACTGTTTTGTCTTTCTTTATCAACCTTGGCTATGGAAACTCATAGATATATGTAAGGCTTCTTTACCTCAAAACTTTTGATGAAGTTAAAAAAAATGGTCTTTCATATTAAATAATGAAAAGCATTATATATTGATGTATATGTGTGCTAAATCTCATTGATGTAGCCCGTGTCTGATGTTTGTTATGCTTGTCCCTGTAACCTGCATTACCATGAGGTCGCTCAGCCTAATTTCAACCATGGCGTGGGCCAATCCCAATTTTTAATAGCGGGTGATGCCGACTCTAAGGAAATATTCAATTATTACCACTATTTACATTAAAATATTTGATAACTTGTGTATTAGAATGAACCTAGAAAGTTTTTATTTGAGGTTTAAAGACACAGACACTGTAGAGTCAATATTATAAATGATCATAATTTTCTGTGCGCAAAATATTGTCTTAGGCAAACATTCACAGTCCTTGCTTGTCTTATACTACTATAGTACTAGACTTATAATTTCCTTCATAAGAGTAATAAGACAATGAATGTGCCATGTGCAAAAACTGTTAAAATCATTGGTCAAAGAGAGCTTTAATTAATTAGCCATGTACCCCCCAAAAGTTGAAATTTCAAAATAAGTAGTCTCAAACCAGCATTATTTTTTAGGGGACACCTTGCCTAAAATAGACTATATATATGATTATATAATTTAAAAAATTCATAGCTAAAAAAAGCTAAAAAGTACTTAGACTAAAAGCTGCAAAGTTGATTCTTGTTTCATTTTCTTTTTATTTGAAGTTTGCTCTATAACTCTAAATAAATATATTTTTATAATTAAACAATTGTTATTATTGTGTGAGTTTGAATTTTTTTTATCGAAGTACCAACATCACGTCCACGAACAAACAGTGAAACAGTATCAGTGATCAGTTAAATCAGTATCACTCAGGCTACATGACATATATGTCATGTGCCTAATAAGAATAAACAAAAGAGGTATTCTCAGGTATGCACTATCAGATCATCATCAGACATCATCTGACATCTATGTCTATACTATACACAGAACGGCACTGAAATGAAAGACAAGACATCTGTAGTCTAGTGTAGTCCACCTTGTAAAATACATCTTTAAAAAACATTACGTAACTGTTAAGTTAGACCTTACAAAGTGACTCCTTACTATGGAGCTGTATAATATGTATATGCCTATGCTCCTTACATATTATGCTTTTAATTTGATTTGGAAGTGGCGTCCATTGTTACCCGGAGACATAACAGTTGTCGTAAAATTAGTGTAATGTCTCTCAAACAAAATTTTACGACAACCAACATTAAATGGGAATTGGTAAAAACTTAATCCAAAATAGCAAGGATAAACACAATTAAAATTTATTTAGGTTTTCAAATTGTAACAAAAGCCCTTCTTTGAAAACCTCAGAAAAGATGAGAAAATGGTACAAATAATCCCCAAGTTGTTACTTATTTTAATCTATCTCTTCCCATGTGTGCATTAGCATCACTATTCTATATTCCATTTGGACGTGTACTTTCATTCAAGGTTTCTTTCAGGCACATCAACCCCCCTCCCCCGCAATTCCTTATTTTTAGTATTTTTAGGACAATTTATTATTTCTACATAAATAACATTAAGTTACACGGACGCCATCTTGGTGACCCGTGACCTTTCACGCACGGATCGTTGTAACCAAGATGGCGGCAGCTTGAAATGTCATGGCGCGTATAATATTCCAAATTTATCATATTAAAATCATGGGACCATTACGTCGAAGTAGGTTTAGTCAGATTTTTTTTTTTTGGAATCAAAGTATGAGGTTAAGACCGGTATATCCACGCATTACCAATGGAGACGTTTCAGTGATTCAGATTGCATCCATGACCAGTCCATCTAATGAAAATGGCTTTAAAAAATGAGCTGCATAATTTTGCTAAAGTCTGGCTACAACTCATGGCTGAAGCATCTGAAGTACAATAAAGAACGGAAAGGTAAATAAATAATTTTAAAACAAAATTGCAAAATTTGATTTTTACTTAGAAATTAGAAATGTTATTGAAATGTTGTAGTAGGGACTTTGATAAGAAAATTTAAACTTTTTGTAAAAATAAGCCAATGGCCAATGTCATAGTTGAAAAGAGGTAATTTTTTAAAGAATTATAACACCAAAATCATATTTTTAGCTGTTGTAGTTTTAAAGTTATGAATTTTTAAAGTGTGAGTTCGTTTGGTATTTTTTACTATGGACGAAACCTCCACATCTTGTGACCTCATTCCGCTCATCGCGTCATGCGCAATGACTATATACTATATACTTTATATAAGGCAACACATTCCCTGCCTTATCACTAAAATACTGTTTAGACTTAGTTTAAACTTTCAACTTTGGCACATGAATAATTAATTAAAGCTTTCCCTGACCAATGGTTTAATAGTTTTTGCACACGGCAAACTCTTATGAATGAAACTCTGAGGTAGTACTACGATAC